CTTCTACCAAAGGCTACGTGTGGAGCCAGGGACAGCACCATGTCCCCACAATGGATGTATCAGTGATACTTCTGGTTTTGGGGGGTGGGGGTGGTACCAGGGATCAAACTCAGGACACTGTGCTTCCAAGGCAGGCTTGGGTGCCACTGGGCTACATCCCCAGTCCCTCAGTCATACTTCCTTTAAATCTGGTGATGAAGATGGGTGTAGTAGCGCATACTTGTGATCCAAGCCATGTGGGAGGCTGAGGCAGGAAGATTGCAAGTTGGAGTCCTGCCTGAGCAATTTCGTGAGGCCCTGTCTAAAAATAAAACAGTTAAAAAAAAAAAAGGCTGGGGATTTAGCTCAGTGGTTCTGCCACCTGCCTTGTAAGCACAAGGTCCCGAGTTCAATCCCTGGTACCAAAAAAGAAAGAAAAAGGCTGAAGATGGGGCTCAGGGCTAAGGCCCCAGGGTTCAATCCCCAGTACTGGAGAAATAAAAATCTAGTAACGCCTGTGATTAGCCCAGTGTCAGGTGGAGGACAGCGGCCACGGCCCTGTGGCCATTGCCCATCTGGCTGCTGTCCTTCATCAGGGCATCTTCCCCGCAGGCCACCGTGGCTCTGTCAGGAGCAGCCGTTGGGGACCCGGGTGGGCTTGTGAGCCCAGGCAGGAGCTGGCTGCTGGGCAGCTTCCAACCGGAACTGCTTATGTTCATCCACAACCGCCAGCTTCCGTCTCCACACCACCCGGGCTGTGTGCGCCCGCATCCGCGTGTTTGCTATCGATCTGCAAACTCAACTCAAATGCAGCACCTTCTCATTCCTCACAGGGATTGGTGACAAAGGCAGGTGCCCAGGGTGGTGCCTAGTTATCTGGCTCTGGTCCCACCCTGGCCAGCAGCCTATCCCACTCACGACCACAGACCTCTCTCTTCCCTGGGTGTGTCCACCGCCAAGCTGGACAGGGCCAGGACCCAGAACCAAACCCCTGGGAGGGGAGTGGAAGCTGCCACTTGTCTCGGTTTGAGTTCTTTTAGTTTGAGGGACAGAGTCCAAGTCAAGCTCACTTAATTTAGCCCAGCAGTGGCTGTGGCCTGTGTTGGGCACCATGCTGGCTCTGCTGCTTCATCAGTGAACTGGGCCCACTGCCCTGTTCAGCCTGGTGCCCCAGAAGATGGTAGGGGTGACAGGTGGGGGGTGGCTGGTCCCCAGGAGGCCCAGGCTACAAGAGGAAAGGAAGCCATGGGGGACACCTGGGGGCGGGGCGGGGCCTCCTCCCTGAGGTCAGGTTCAAAGGCGGAATTGGGGCCAGGTGACGGCCCTGTCCCTGGCCTGGATGGGTGGGGAGTTCTGTCGGCAGGGTCAGCCAGAAGGGAGGCCCAGAGGCAGGACTGTGGCCCGTTGCGTGGTGACAGTGCGGCTGGGGACTGAAACCTCACGCAGAAGGCGGGGACCCAATGAGCCATGGGTGCTGGGCCAGGCTTTGGTTTTCTCAAGTAAGCTGGGAGCCCCTGAGAGTCTGGACCCAAAGAAGGATGGGAGCCAGGGCTTCACACGTGCTAGGAAACAGCTCTCCCGTTGCGCCGAGTCCTCAGCTGAAGGATGTGACTTGGTGGATGTTTTGTTTAGCAAAAAATCTCCTCAATTTCTAGGCCTGGGTGAGTCAGAGGCTGGAACCTCCTCTTCTGGATACAAGTTTGCATCCCAGGGTGGAGAGGGGCCATGGCCAATGCCCTCACAGCATATAAACTCCAGAGAAGCCCTGTGATTGGCTTTACTTGGAAGAATCCCTGTGGCCAGATGCTAAGAATGTTGTGATTGGCTAGGCTGGGTCACATGGCTACCATATGCCAAGAGGATGGAGGGCTACGATTGGGCACTGGCCAGGATGCCTGCCAATAGGGGCACAATTTCTGGAAAAAAAATCCCATTTTCCAGAGGGGAGGAAGAAGCAGTGAGCTGGTGGCTGGAAGCAGCATCCTTCACTGAATTGTTTACCATGCGGGGTGGTGTCCCGGGGTTCCCCCATCACCTCATAAGCACTGTCCTGAATGACTACAGGAAAATCTGGTGGTCAAGGTCCCTTGGGCTGCGGTCACTTTTGCTTCTCCTGTTTCCCCATCCCTGGTTGTAGAAAGCTCAGCGATCCTGCAGGGGTCAGGAACCCGCCGAGGTGGGGCTGCTTCCTCCTCGCTCCCCGCCCCCTCTGAAGCTGGGACAATCAGCCAGCGGGGAGAGCTGGCTCTGGGATCCTCAGGAAAAGCCAAGCGGAACAGGAATGAGCAGGGGGCTTTCCGCCTGGCAGGGTCTAAAAGAAAGTTGGTAAAGTGACAAGATTTAAAGACACAGCTTGGAGACTTCTGGTGTGTGTCTCCATGGGGGTCACCACCACCCAGGAACCCCAGGAACCCCAGGAACCTCCTGAAGGGGCTTCTCTGGCCCTCTCCACCCCTCCCTTCAGGGCAAAGAAGCAGGAGCTTGGAGAGGAGGAACATCTCCGTCTCCCAGAACATCGCGGACCCTTCCATGGATTGAAATTCTTGGCCGAAGATCAGAGACGGACTGAGCTCCCGGCCGGGCCCTGGCCTGACTCGTGCATTTCAGCAGATGGTGAAGGAAAGATTTCAACCCGGAGCCCCATACAGCAACCCAGAGAACTCCCTGAAAACATCTCTCATTTTCGACTTGGAAGGAATAGTAGGGAAGGATCAGCCCTCTGTCCACGCCTTTTCTCCTGGGCTCCACTCCAGAACACTTTCCTTGTTTCAGGAGATCAAGCGTGGTGGAGCAAGCTGGGATGGACTCAGGGGACCCTGTCAGGCTGGTTCTGATACACAGTGCTGGGTTGGTGCAGCCTCCAGAACCAACCTCACCAAGGGACCTGTTTATTTATTTATTTATTTAGGTACTAGGGATCAGGTGGTGGAACCATTAAGCTAAATCCCCAGCCCCTAAGACCTGTTTATTTTTTAAGACAGGGTCTTGCTATGTGGTTCAAGCTAGGCTGGCCTCGAACTCACCAAGATCCTCCTGCCTCAGCCTCCCAAGTGCTGGGATGACAGGTACATGCCACCAGGCTCAGCCGAATGTGCTGGTTTCTTATGGCTGTTGTAAAAAACTGTTACAAAATTAGTGGCTTAAAACAACACACATAGCTGGATGCAGTGGCCTCTGCCTGTATTCCCAGTCCCTTGGGAGGCTGAGGCAGGAAGATTGCAAATTCATGGCCAGTCTGGGCAAAATAGGGAGAACCTGTCAAAGAAAAGAAAAAAAAAAAGTGAGGGTAGCTAGGTATGTAACTGAAGGGTAGAGAGCTTGGTGAGCATTCGTTCTCAAGGCCCTGGGTCCCGTCCCCAGGACCACAAGGAAACACACATCATTGCTCAGGCTCTGGTGGGCAGATGTCTGGTGTGGGCCTCACTGGGCTGGAGTCACCATGCCTGCTGTGTTCCTTCTGGAGGCCCCAGGGGAGGAAGAATTTGTTTCCTGTCCTTTCTGGCTGCCAGGGCCCCTGGCATTACTGGCTCTCGACTCTGGCCTAACATCTCTCTTCATTCTACACTGGCTTTTACGTCTTTCCTGTAATCCTATCCCCGCCTCATCAGCAGGGCCCCACGATGGCCCTGGGCTCACACAGCAGAGAATCCAGAACATTCTGCTCCTTTTCAGGACCCTTACTGAGCTGGGCCTGGTGGTGCACGCCAGTCATCCCAGTGCTCAGAAGGCTGAGGCAAGAAAATCCCCATGAGTTCAAGGCCAGCCTGGGTTACATAGTGAGTTCAAGGTCAGTGTGGACTACAAAGACCTTGTCTCAAAAAACAAACAAACAGAGCCTTACTAACCCCTGTCTGCAGTGTCTCCTTTGCTAGGTTAGGTGACACATTGGTGGGTTCTAGGGATTGGAACACAGACTCTGGGAGGCACCAGCCAGAAGCCAGCAGCCACGAAGAGCAAACTCACACTGCTGCCTGCCCAGCTTTGGCTCCAGTGTGGGCCTCAGGCAAGGGTACCTGCCCACCATGATGGACAGATCAGCCGTTTGCCATGCAGGGGGTTGGTCCCCTGAGTGTCCTCCAAAGGCAGGCATCACTGTGCATCCTCTTTTTTGCAGTCCTAGGGGTTGAACCCAGGGCTTTCCCACCGAGCTACAACCCCAGCCCTTTTATTTTGAGACAGGGTCTCATTAAGTCACTAAGTTGCCCAAGCTGGGCTAGAACTGGCGATCCTCCTGCCTCAGCCTCCCATAGTGCCAGGATTACAGGTGTGCACCACTACACCTGGCTCTGTGCTCCTCAGTGTTGAGAGCCATTCTACATAATTTTAGGGGAAACATCATTTTGTAAATGAATTATGGTTAGGATTGTCTAGGGCCCAAGGTCTCCTTGTCCATGAGCCAGCTATGGTATGGCGGGAAACATCTCCATATGGCTCCGGTCACAGCTGAGGCCTCAACGGTCCAGTGATGGTGTGACACTCAGGGGCATCAGGTGAAGACATCCTGGTGCTTTGAAAACCGAGTAGAGGGCCCGGGATTTAGCTCAGTGGTTTCGCTGCCTGCTGCACAAGTGCAAGGACTGGAGTTCGATCCCCAGTACCAAAAAAACCCAAACCGAGTAGTAATTTAAAAAAGAGAGGATTCACAGGGGGCGGGGGGGGGGCACGTTCCTCATTAGCCTGCTGGCTCCACCCACCTCCTATGGTAAGAGTGGTCGGCCCGTCTTACCGTCCTTGTGAACATAAGACCCTCACCAGCATAGGGTCACTGCTGCCCCCTGAGTCGCCGATACCGGCTCCGATCGCCCAATAAATAGTGGCCAGCTCCAGTGTCTCTGTCCGCCCACCCGAGGCCCTGACCTTGCGGCCCTGTGTTATGAGACCCCGCCTCTGCTGTCCCTTCCCTCAGCCCTCGCGCCCCCTCCTGGGCATGTGCAGGTGGAGGACGGATCGGCCGGGACTCCCGGCACCTGGGCATCGGATTCCCCCTCCGGGAGCCCGAGGTGGGCGGGGAGTGGGCGGGAGCCGGGCGGCCTCCTCCCCCGGCCGGCCGTGGCAGCCCAGCCGCTCGCAGTCCCGCCGTCCAGAGCCCCAGCGATGCCTCCCTCGGGCCTGGCGCTCGCGGACAGCCGGGCACTCCCGGCCTTCTTGCTGTGCAGCACGCTGCTGGTGATCAAGATGTACGTGGTGGCCGTGATCACCGGCCAAGTGAGGCTGCGGAAGAAGGTGAGAGCGGTCCCTCCCGAGCCCGCGGAGTCAGGAGCGGGGACCCGGCCGGGCCGGCTTCAGCGCGGCTTCCACGTGAACGCACAGGTCCCGGACCCAAGGCGGACCTGGGGACCCCGTCCCCTAAGGCCTCGTCCGACCCGGCCGCTCCGGGCCCCGCGCCCCCGTCCCTGGGCGGGGTAGGAACAGGAGTGAGGAACTTCGAGTGGAAATTCCCAGGTCCCCGGCGGCTGCCCCCGAGGTGCGGGGAGAAGCGGGGTCCCCCAACCCTGGCGCTGAGCCCAGCCGGGCGCCCCCGGCGGCTGCGGCTCCTGTGCAGGTTTTTCCCGGGAGCCCTTTCCGGAAAGGCGCCTCTCTCTGCCCTGTCCCTTTCAAAGGCTGGGCGGGTCGCCTCTACCCCTGGGGTGGCCCTGGGGCGGGGACCCCGCCCGCCGAGCAGGGAGGGTTAAAGGTGGGCCTAGCTGAGAGCCTGGGGTTGGGGCGCCTGCTCCCGGGGGTCCCCCTGTGGCACAGAGCTGAGCAGGCTGTCCCCACGGCAGGCAGCCAGCCAGAGATCCGCTCCTCTCCCTAGAAGAGGCCCCTGGGGAGGCCCAGCCAGGTGTGAGGTCAGGCGTCACCTCCAGGGCTCACACCTGTCGTGGGCCCGGGTTCTAAGCCCAAGCCATTTCCTCTGGACTTGGATTTAGAGAAGCAAGGGGTCCACCTGGCGGACTTGGGTTTTTTTGGATAATCTCACTATGTAGTTCAGCTGGCCTTGAACTCAATATAGATCAGGCTGGCAGCAATCCTGCCTCAGCCTGCCAAATGCTGGGATGACAGGCATGCATAACCCCGCCTGGCTCCAAATTCTTTTTTCTGGTACGGGGGATCGAACTCAGGACCTTGTACTTGCAAGCCAGGTGTGGTGCCACTGAGCTAAATTCCTGGCCCTCCAAATTCTTTATCTTTGTTTTTGAGGTACTGGGGATTGAACCCAAGGTCTTTGCATTAAGCTATATCTGCAGCCCTTTACTTTTTTTCCTTTTGTTTTCGGTACCGGGGATCAAACTCAGAGGACCTTGTGATTTTGAGGCAGGCGCAGTGCCACTGAGCTAAATCCCTGGCCCTTATGTATATTTTATTGTAATATTTTTAGTCAGGATCTTGCTAGGTTGCTAAATTGCCTGGGCTGGGCTGGAATTTGGAATCCTCCCGTCTCAGCCTCCCAGAACTTGCTGAGACTGTAAGTGTATGATGCAAAGTCAAATTCTTGAGATGCCTTCAGCACCTCTGCTGGCCCTGTGACTTCATCCTAGGCCCTTGTCCCTTGCTCCTGAGGCTTCAGCCATGCTAGTTTCGAGTTCTTCAGACCCATTCAGCTCCTTTCCACCCCAGGGCCTATGTACATGCTGTTCCTTCAGCTTCCCTTGTTGTTGCTCCTGTCCTCCCTTCCCCTGGCTGATGTGGAAGCATCCTCTCACCTCAGCTTTAATTCGGGTTACAGGAGTGCACACCATGCCCAGCTCCTGTCTTCTCTTTCTTTCTTTTTCTTTTTCTTTTTTTTTTTTGGTACAGGGGATCAAACTTGGGTTCTTGCGCTTGCGCAGCAGGCGGCGAAACCACTGAGATAAATCCCTGGCCCCCTGTCTTCTCTTTCTGACAAGGGAACTCCTGTCCACGCTGGTCGCAGGCGGATCCCCCACCAGATCGAGAGTGAGCACGCACAGGGTGGATGTTCGTGGGGAGCACGGCAGTCCACGTCTGCACCGTGTCCTCCCCCCAGGAGCCAGCCACGCCTCCCCCTGTGGTAACTCGCGCTGATGTGTTTCAGGCTTTCGCCAACCCTGAGGATGCCCTGAGACATGGTGGCCTCCAGTTCTGCCGAAGCAACCCGGACGTGGAGCGGTGTCTCAGGCAAGCAACCCCAGGCCTGGGCCAGGATCTGGCACAGATCTGGCTGGGCCTGTCCTGCGGGTCTCCTAAACCGGGGACACAGAGGGTCCCCAGCAGGTGGGGTTCTCTGCACTCTGATCCCCTTGGACTGCTCTAATCATTCAGTGGATAATTTTTTGTTTGTTTGAGACAGGGTCTCGCTACGTAGCTCAGGCTGGCCTTGCACTCACAGCGATCCTCCTGCCTCAGCCTCCTGAGTGCTGGGATGACAGGCATGCACCACCACCCCTGGCCTGGTTAATTTTTAATCTGGGAAATGTAACACTTGATTGGGACTGGGAACTGCAGAGCCCCCTCCCTCCCACCTGTCACCTGGCATTCCTCTGCCCTCGGCAGTATCCCAGAGTCCCTTTTCCTCCACACAGGGCACAGAGTGGCCTAGGGGCCCACGGCAGCCTCACCGACCCCCTCTGCTTGGCCTGTGCTGTCTTTCTGTGTGAGCCGAGCCCTGCGCACCTGTCACCTGCCTGTTGTCCAAGGGAGCAAAGCGCAGGGCGCCCTCCAGTGGCAGGAATGTGTCGCATGGGCCCGGCTGTTCCTGAGCTGCAGGCGGTCAGATTTAGGGTGGGACCTGCCCAGCAGAGGGGAAAGCGCTGTCACGTTTTCCTTCCCTCCCTCCTTCCTCTTTTCCAGTACTGAGCATTGAACCCAGGGTCTTCACACTGAGTTCCATCCCCAGCTCCTTTATTATTGTTTTATTTTGAGACAGGGTCTCACTAAGTGGCTAAGTTGCCCAGGCTGGGCTTGGACTTCCCATCCTCTTGCCTCAGCCTCCCAGAGTGCTGGGAATTACAGGCCTGTCACATCATGTCCCGCTTCATATTTTGCTTTTAATTTGCATTTCTTTTATTCGGAGTGAAGAAACGTATCTTCTCCTATGTGTACCTTGCTCCAGGCAGTTGAAAAGTATTTTTCTTATAATAAAAGTCAGAACTAGTCATGGCAGACGGTTTGGGTCACACCAAAAACACCCAGCCAAAGAGGAAAACTACTCTCCATTCCAGCCACTGCTGACATCTTCATCTCTCTTCTTTGTCTTCTGCATCCACATATCCCGAGAAGGTTGCGCGCATGGCAGGACCCAACTTGGGGCTCTGATCTTTTTTTTGGTACCGGGGATGGCGGCACCACTGAGCCAAATCCCTGGCCCATGGGGTTCTGATTTTTTTTCAGTGAACATTATTTCATGAGAATTTTCCTCGTGGCAAATATTACTCAATTCTTGGGTGAAGAGGTGGTGTAGAGCACTTGCCTGGTATGGAACCCTGGGTTCCATCCCCAACACCAAACAAGAAAAGATTCTTTAAAAATGACTGTGAAGGGCCGGGGATTTAGCTCAGTGGTTTCACCGCCTGCTGCTCAAGCGCAAGGACCCAAGTTCGATCCCCGGTACCAAACAAACAAACAAAAAAGGCCAAAAACAGGCCTGGGGATTTAGCTCAGTGGTGCCACTGCCTGCCTTGCAAGCGCAAGGTCCTGAGTTCAATGGCTGGTACCAACAACAAGAAAAAGAATATTAGTAACAAAAAAATGTAGAAAGGGGCAGAGGATGGAGCTCAATAGAAAGGCCCTGGGTTCATTACCTGGTACCACACACAAAAAAAGCTGTAAAATCCATAGAAACTGATATTTCTTTTTCTTTTCTTTTCTTTTCTTTTTTTTTTTGGTACAGGGGATCAAACTCAGGACCTTGGGTTGGCAAGACAGGCGCAGTGCCACTGAGCTAAATCCCTGGCCCTAGAAACTGATCATTTCAATAAGCAGGGCCAATTATTAGAGTTGGGGGGCAGCTGCTATTCTGCCCCCCCCTTTTGAGACAAGGTCTCGCTCTGTAGCCCAGATTGGCCTCAAAGGCATCTTCCTGCCTCAGGAGGCTGAGGCAGGGGTCACCACAGCTGGGTCATTCTGCCATCTTCCCCAGCAGCCAGGAGGGGGCGGGTGACTTTGCAGGGCTTGAGGCTGGCAGAGGACGGGGGTGGGGGTGGGCAGATGCGTAGCTTTCGGGGTGAGCCAGGGGACAGGTCGCAACATGTCTCGGAGCATGCCAGGCAGAGAGGGGAGGGTGGAGGTGGGTGGGACGCATCGCCTCAGTCAGAGAAATTCTCTTCCGAAAACAAAGTCTGTGGGTTTTTCCCTTATGTCTGTCTGAGCCATCAGTTACAGTCTGTATGTACACTGTGGTTTTAAAACAAGACCGATGTGTGTCACAGGAAGTGAGATTCCTTGCTCTCTAGCTCTTCCCAGTGTAACCTAGTGGCCAGGCCTTGGTATGGACTCCAATAGCCACCCAGCCACTGGGGATTTAATGAGCACCTACTATGTGCAGGATGCCGTGCTAAGTGCCAGCTGCACTTGTTTGTTTGTTTGTGAGATAGGGTTTTGCTATGTAACCCAGGCTGGCCTTGAACTCCTGGAGATCCTCCTGCCTCAGCCTCCTGAGAGCTGGGATCACAGGCCTGTGCCCCCTCACTGGGCTGAGCACCCTTTATCTAATCCTGCTTTGTATCCACTCTGTGAGGACTTTGGGGGGACCTAGTTGTACAGGGCACAGCTGGGCCTATGGGGCTCCCCTTCCACCTCCTGACCTGGCAGAGCCGTGGAATGCTGGGATGCAGAAGAGCCTGGGAGAGCATGCTGCCTGTGGATGGGGGGACCCGGCGGAGTGGTTAAATATTACAGCAGGGTTTCCAGGCAGTCGTGGGGGCCCCTGTGCACACAGGAAGTCATTCACGCCTCGGTGCCTGCAGCAGAGCTTGAGCTGGGGAAACCAGGCCTGGGGCACAGGGAGAGCGAGCACCTCGCTTGCGCAATGCCTGAGCCCAGGCCTGGCAGTGGGTGTGGGTCACAGCTGGATCAGAACCAGATCGGAACTGGATCAGAACCTGGGGGGGGTCTGCGGCTTCAGCCAGGGTTGGTGTCCTGGTTGGTGTCCCCAAGAAGGAAGGTGAACGCCAGACCCAAACCTTTTTGTTTCTGTGGTACCGGGGCTCGAACTCGGGAGCTTCCACTTGCTGGGCAGGTGCTGTTCCACTGAGCTGCATCCCTGGCTTGGTTTCATTTTTTTGAGACAGGGTCTCGCTGTATAGTTCAGGTTGACCTTGAACTCACTATGTAGCCCAGGCTGGCCTCTAACTCACAGCGATTCTCCTGCCTCAGCCTCGCAAGTGACAGGCGAGCACCACCGCAGCCAGCCAGCCCACTTCACTCCTTAGCCTCTGCCTTTCCCACTCAGCTGTCACCTGCTCTAGCAAAATGCAGCTGTGTCGCAACCTGCAGCGGGGAGGAGGCAGAACGCGGCCGGTGTGCAAGTCTGGTCTCGTGGGGACGCCCTGGGTGGCTTCTGCCTTAACCCGGGGTTGTTGCGGGATGACACCGTGCTGACTCCCTGAGTCTCCCTGTGACACAGCGCGGCCTGGCCCTGGGCTCTGGCACCGCGCAGGCTTGGGGGAGGGAGGGAGGGAGAGGCCGTCCGCTGCAGGCGAGGGGCGGGGCCAGGAAGCTCCGCCCACCCAGGTTTCTGCCAGTCCCCCCTCCCTCCTCCACCACGTGGCCCGTCCTCCTCTCTGGTTTCTGCGCCCCCTGTACTGCCACAGCTGTTTAAATGTGGGCCTGCTCTGAAAAGGGAAGCTCAGGGTTTCAGCCAGGCGTGCTGGCACACATCTGCAATCCCAGCACTCGGGAGGCTGAGGCAGGAGGATCACTGCAAGTTCGAGGTCAGCCTGGGCTACACAGTGAGTTCAAGGCCAGCCTGAACTACACTGAGAGACCCGGTCTCAAAAAAGAAAAAAGCAAACAAAGATTCAGGGAGAAGGAGAAGGCAGATTGGTGTTGGTCTCAGGGAGACAGAGATGCCAACTGCTGTATCTGAGAAAACTACAGGCCTTGCTGGGTGTATGGGCTGCTGGACACTCCGAACGGGTCCCTGCTCTTGTGTGCCACACTCTAGCATGGGGCACTTTCTGTCCCATGAATGCACTGTGCATTCCTGCCCCAGGGCCTTTGCACATACAGACTCCAATCTGCACCAGCTTCTCACCCTCCAGGCTCCAGCACAGACATCTCCTTCCCTGACCACCCCACCCCCACCCCACCGCAGCATGGAGCCCCCTGCAGTGCTGGGTGCTGGGCGCCCCAGGCCCCTGCTCTGCTCCACCCTCTAACCCCCACCATGGCCCACACCTACCTTCTCTTGCTGTGGGGGAGAAGAACAGGCCCTCAGCCTTGGTCCCCACAGGCAGGCCACCACACTGGCCTCTCTGAGCAGGGAAGGCTTCTGTCCCGGGCCTGGGCCCGGCGTGGCCAGTGACAGCTTCCAGCATCACTGGGTTCCTCGCGTTTGGGGCCCCCTCCCCCTCCAGGAGCAGGGTGTCAGCCAGGGTCACAGAACAACGCCCAGGCCCAGGCCGAAGCAGGAGATTCGCCTGCTTGCTCATTTGTTTACATTTATCTAGGCCGGGCTGTACGCGCCCCCAGCACACTTGATTGCTCTAAACCAAACCACCACAGGGACCCACAGCATGGGGAGCAGGCGGTGAGCCAGGCGACCTTGTCATTTAATTTTTTGGTTTTCTTTTTTTTTTGGTACCAGGGATTGAACTCGGGTCCTTGCGTTTGCGCAGCAGGTGGCAAAACCACTGAGCTAAATCCCCGGCCCTAGTTTTTTGGTTTTCTACGACGCAAAGTCCTGCCACATAGTCCAGCCTGCCCTCCCACTCACAGCAATCCTCCTGCCTCAGCCTACAGAGTGCTGGGATTAAGCTTGTTATCTCTGTGAGGATGGCACTTGGATTTTGGGCAGAGGGAGGGAGTGCTGGGGAGGGGCAGGGCCTGAGAACAGGCAGAGGATGGCTGGGCTGTCCTGACTCAGCCTCCCTGGGAGGGGAGCGACTCTGACTGTTCCAATCCCAGCTGCACCGCCCCGGCTCTGCAAGCCCAAGCCTGGGGTGAGGGGGGACGACAATGGGGGAGACTGGGAGGCACAGCGTGGCTGACAGCGCCTTTGTCTCTGCAGGGCCCACCGGAACGACATGGAGACCATCTACCCGTTCCTCTTCCTGGGCCTGGTCTACTGCTTCCTGGGCCCCAGCCCAGCGGCGGCCTGGGGGCACTTCCTGCCCTTCCTCCTGGGCCGCCTGCTGCACACAGTGGCCTACCTGGGCCAGCTGCGTGCGCCCGTCCGCTCCCTGGCCTACACCGTGGCCCAGCTGCCCTGCGCCTCCATGGCCCTGCAGATCCTGTGGGAAGCAGCCCGGCACCTGTGACCCGCGTGGCCAGCACGGCGCCCGGCACCCTCTGGGCCCAGCGGGCTGTGTGTGTGTTTCTTGGATTCCTGGATGAAGTGGCCCATTGTCAAGACTGATAGAAAGCCAGGCGTGGTGGTGCACACCTTAATCCCAGCACTCAGGAGGCTGAAGCAGGAGGATCATCATGAGTTCCAGCCCAGCCTGGGGTACATAGTAAGCTGAAGACCAGCCTGGACTATGTAAGGAGACCCTGTGTCCGAAAAAGAGAAAACAAAAAGCTGATAAAAAAATCTTTCCACTGAAACAACAGAGTATCAAAATCACATTTTCTCTCCCTCCCCAGTTAGAAGAGGCGGGAGAGTCTCCACTCAGGACCCCAAACCCAACCCAGGGCTGCACCCACCCTTCTCAGACCACCGGGCCTGCCCCCAGTGCAGTAAGGGAAGGCTCCCACAGAGCCTCAGCCTGGCCCCACCAGGCCCCCGTGATTCCCCCTTGCTAGGTCCAGCCCCGGCTCCTTGGGGTGGGGCTCTTCTCCCCGGGCTCCGGGCTGCAGGTGCGGGCTGGGTGTTGTCAGCAACCCCGGAGCTGCTGCCAGTGTCCCACCCATGGAGAACCCCGAGTGAGCGGCAGAGCTTGCTCCCTAACTGGGTGCCAGGTGCCACAGCAACCCTCTGCTGGGGCCCAGCACCTACCTCCTGCCAGGGCCTGGTAAGATGCTGTTTGGCTGGGGACCCAGGACTGCCTCAGGCTGGCCTTGAATTCTGGGGATTCTCCTGCCTCAGCCTCCTCAGTGCTGGGATGACAGGTGTGTGCCACCACACCTGGCAACAGCTCTGCTTTCACGCTGAGGCCACTAGAGCTCCAGGAAGTGAGTGCTTAAAGTGTGGGCAACTTGCACCCAGGACTTCTGGGCTCCTGAGCCCAGATTCAGAGCCACGAGCCCACAGTCCATTTGTGACCACCCTGCAGGGCCCCTGTCAGATGGGAGCCACCTTGTGGGGGACCACAGGGCCAAGGGGTACTTGTCAGGGAACGCAGGCCTCACTAGGTGGGCCAGCTGGGCCAGGCATGGTGGTGCACAGCTGCAATCCCAGCTACTCTGGAGGCTGAGGCAGGAGGATGGCAAATTTAAGCTCAGCCTTGGGAATTTAGCAAGATCCAGTCTCTAAACAAAAGGTTGGGGGGGCCCGGGATTTAGCTCAGTGGTTCTGCTGCCTGCCTCCAAAGCGCAAGGAACCGAGTTCAATCCCGGGTACCAAAAGAGAAAAAAAAAAGGTTAGGGATGTACTTTAATGGAAAGGCCTAGGTTCCAACCCCACTACTGCTGAGAAAAAAGAGAGCGCTAGCTTAGCTGGCCTGGGGCCCAGCAGCGGGGAGGAAATGACAATCTCGGGCCCCCCCAGTTTCCAGGGCCTGGGCTCTGGGCGTGGGCAACACTGCCCCCTGGTGGCGACACGATGGCAGTCGGCCAGCAGCCTCCTGCCCTGGAGCTCCAGCGGGGCAGGGGTCAGCGGTGAAGGGACAACAGCCCCCAGGGCCCGGAGGTGTCTGGCTGGTGAGGGCGTGGCATGGATGGCCTCTCAGTGATGAGAGCCCCGTGGCCATCCTGAGCCCCAAGTGCGGGGCCTCAGCACCCTGTTTCCCCTTCCCGCCTCCTTGCCTCGTCTGAAGCCCACAGCCTCTCCAACTCCACCCCACGTGGCCAGCCCTGGGCCGCCGCTTCCTCCTGACCCTGCCGGAAGTGCGGGCCTGGGCACCGGAAGTGCGGGCCTCGGCTGCTGTGTACCAGGCTGCGGGCACCAAGCTGGAGCCAGTGGGGGCTGTTGGGGACATTGAGGGCCCAGGGTGACCTGGGGTTTCCACAGACCCAAGGATCAGGGTGGGCTGCAACCGGGGGCCTCTGGCAACCTGTGCCGATCAGACCTAAGGTCACCGGACCCTCATGCCCTCCCCAGGGCACCCACCTTAGCCGGAGCCACCCAGTGTCACCTGGCCGATGGGCGTCTCAGCTCAGCCTCTGAGAGCACCCCGAGTGTGGGGTTTGGGGTGGGGGCAGAGGGCTGTGAGGCTCACAGGACTGAGTTGTCCCTGGGCCTCTTCGACCCGGGAGCCCCTGCTGTCCAGGACCGGCCTCCCCATTGCTGTCAGGCTGGGCCTCAGGTGGCACAAAGGGGCGTCCTGTTGGCTCTGGTGAGAACCAGGCAGGTCGCTGGATCAGAGCCAGAACTGTGGCTTCAGTCGAAAATCTTGTTTTTTTGAGACAGGGTCTCATTATGCAGCCCAGGCTGGCCTTGGACTCACAGTGATCCTCCTGCCTCAGCCTCCTGAGTGCTAGGATGACAGGGGTGGGCCACCAGGGCCAGTGGTTTTGTTACTTAATTGAGATAGGATTCTGGGACAAAAACCATCATGGGCCGCTTCTCAGCACCGAGGGGACGAGGGTGCCACAGACGTGGGTGACAGCTCAGCAGTGACAGCTCAGATGAGCTCTTCCCTCCGGGCCCAAGTTTCTCCTTTCCCGCTTTGCCCCAGGGTGGACATCGGGTTTTAACAGCACCTGGCACCCACCACCCCGTCTGCCCTCCAGGTTTGGTTAGCCAGCTCTTGCAGTGGGTAATTTCCCAGGTTGCATTGCTCACAGACCTCTCTACCCACCAATCCCTGTGCGCATCCGTTTAAGGTGACTTCCGTTTCCTTAAAGTAAAATTATTGGTTCAAAAGGCATGGCTTTTTCCTCTCTTTTTGGTACTGGGGATTGCTCCAGGGCTTTCAAATTGTTGCCAAATCACTAAATTTCTAGGCGGGGCTTGAACTTTCCATCCGCCTGCCTCAGCCTCCCAGAGCATGGGACAACAGGTGCAGACCACCACACCCTGCTGGTGTGTTTATTTTTAAGGCTTGTGGTCCTCAGAAAGGACGGTTCCAATTTGGGTAGGATTTTAGAGGATTTTGTCAATTTTTATACCCTGTAGGGAAATTAATATACAAGTTTGCATATGAGGAAGGGCAACCCCAGATCCTGGGGAGATCTCTGGATGCATCATGGTTTCTGACCTCCTGGAGTTTTAATTATGCATATTAATTACAGATGTAATGGGACTGGGATATTCGGTCCGCATTCAAAGGAGACGGGAGGCCATCCCTAGGTCCCAGTGGATCTGACACTTTCTACTCCTGGAGCTCCTGCCCTGGCCCACTGTGGACGACAGCAGCTTCTCTGGTATCTGTACCAGCTAAGAAGAGCTGGACCGGCTTCGCTTCTCAAAGTCTGAATAAATAATAGGGAAAATAATAGGGAGGCCGAGTGTGGTGGCGCACTCCTGTCATCCCAGCACTGGGGAGGCTGAGGCAGGAGGATCACTGGGAATTCAAGGCCAGCCCGGGCTACACAGTGAGACCCTGTCTCAAGAAAAGCCAAACAAAAAGAAAATAATAAAGGAATTTTGTTCTATTTTTCCAAATATAAAATTATAACATTGAATTATATTGCTTTTTAAATATACTTCACTTTGTGTGAGTCAGGGTCTCAGTAGCTCACAGGAGGGGAGAGGAAAAACGACCTGTCCCTGGTGCCGCCAAGGTGGGGCTGACACAGATCCTGTGGCAGGTGGAGAGAGCAGGGGCCTCGATACTCTGCCCTGTAGCAGGGCTGGGGGTCCCTAAGGGGAGCCATGGGCACAGGGAGGCCAGGATGAGGGGGACTTCCAAGCCCCAGATCAATTTTTTTCTTTTTTTGAGACTGTCTTTTTATGTAGCCCACACTGGCCTCCATTTTGAGATCCTCCTGCCTCAGCCTCCCAGATGCTGGGATGCCAAGCATGGGCCACCACACCTGGCTCAGAGCCAGAAACTTTGTCTTTGCTCCTCTGCTTTGGGGTTTTCCAACAGTCAGTCTCTTCCTGTCTTTCTGCCTGAGTGGGCAGAAGTGGGTGGGGAGCATCCAGTGCGGGAGCGGCCTGGGGCACCTTGGGCTCCTGAAATCCATCTCCTGGGCCAGTGCTGGGGAAGCCGCCCACCCAGCCGGCCTGAGGTCTGCACTGCCGGCCGCTTCGGACTGCTGTGTGGGCAGAGCCACATGTGTGAACGATTAACCTGGTTTATTTTCTCTCCAGTGCTGGGGGGGAAATGACATTGATGTCCTCCTGGCCAGATGCTGACCGGCGGCTCGTGGGACTGGGGCTCAGCTCTTCCAAAGCCAGGGGTCCCCCTCTGCACCAGGCACCCCAACCCTCGACTCTTCATTTAGCCCCCCAGCAGTGGAAAACTAGAAAGCCATAGCTGAACTACCCAGGCTGGACTCTAACTTGCCACCCTCCTGCCTCAGCCTCCCGGGTGCTGGGATGACAGTCGTGCACCCCGCGCCTGGCCCTCAGCTGGCCTCTTCATCAGCAGCTCCTGCCCTCGCTGTGTCAGTGACATCTCCCAGGCGCGCCCACTCTGTCCCCCTTCAGTCCGGGCTGCTGCCCCCCTACAGGGCCCCCTCAGCTCCCTCAGATGGCACAACCTCTGAAATTCTAGTCCCAGCCACAAGCCTTTCTTGGGGCAACACTGCTCTTCCCTCTGCCCTGCACCGGAAGGTCCCACCTGGGAAACCCTTCTCCCAGCTGGAAGTGAACATTTGGCTGCCCCAGGGCCTTGACACATGCTGCTCCCTGACTGGAAACCCTATTCTGTCCTCTTTGGCCCAGAATGCCCCAGGCTGGGTGTGGGGCCCTGGACCACCCCCAGGGGCCTTACTCTGCAGTGTAACCAGAGGCAGCTCTGGCTGTCTCTGCATCCCTGCCAGGGACAGGTCACATGGAAACACTGCAGCTGCCCCTCCCTGGTCCCCACGGTGACCAGGCGGCCACCCCTTGCCCCAAGTAGAATCCAGATGGAGAAGGAGTGAATTTAGGGGTCTACTAAGGCAGGGCGACAATGCCCTCTGGGTAGAATGAGGATATCGGGGCTGGCACGAAGCTCGGGACATTCTCTAGTGTGCGTGGGACCCGGGTTCTGTCCCCAGAACCACAGGAAAAGGGGAGGGGACGTCCCCTGAGCAATATTCCTGTGGCCTTAGCCTGTTTGAGCCATCGGGATGGGGGCCTGGGCTGGCACTCTGGGGGCTGACACTGATACGGAGCAGGCAGGGCAGAGTATGCGCAGCGCCTGTAATCCCAGCCCTCGGGGAGGCTGAGGCAGGAGGGCCCCAAGTCCAGGCCCGGCTCAGCAACTTAGTGACTTGTAGAGACCCTGTCTGAAAACCCAAAAGGGCTGGGACGGAGCTCATGCCCAGGCAGAGCCCTCCCCACTGCTGTCCCCGGCTGGTGGCACGGTGTCCTGTCATGCCCGGTGAGGGTCTGGGAATGAGGCGTCTGCACCCACCCCAGCTCCTCTGGCCAAGTCCCCTGAGGGCCCCACCTTCTGTGGGACCCATGAATGCTGCAGGCCCCAGTGGGACCCAAGGTCGCCAGGCCCTGCGGGTCCCAGCCGGTCTCAGCTGCCAAAGGGATCTGCTGCCCTTGCCCGCCCTCCCACAGCCGTTTGGGGCTTTTTAAAAAATGGTTTTATTTCTGAAAGGCAGAGCTTTTTGGTTTCATACACAGTGAGGGAGTCCTTGGCCGGCTCCACCCCGCTGTCTGCCAGCCCCGGCGGCAGCTCCCCTGGCCCCTGGGGACAAGGCGCTGAGTGCCCCTGGGTGTCCCCTCGGCCTTTCGGTGCAGGAGTCCGGCTGCGCTGGGGGCTGGCACGGTCGAGTAGCCTCTCGGGGACAGGGACGGGGTCTCCTCCCGCGCCCCTTCCGGTCCTCACCGTGGGAGCGGGCAGCAGGGGTCCCGGCCGCTCAGTTCACTGTGGGCACCTGGCTGTGGTGCAGGCTGAACTCCTTGGCCTTGAGGCGGAGGCTGGCAATGCTGTTGGCCATGTTGACCCCCGGGGTCGCAGGGCCTGAGCCCCCTGGGCTGTAGGGGGGCACGGAGCTGGGTGACAGGAGACAGGACACGTGGGTGTGGCATGGACGGCTCGGGCCCTGCCTCCCTCCTGCAAGACTTGGGGAGCAACCAGAGGTCCACCAGGGGGCGCTGGATGGGGAGCCCCCTCCCCAGTGGCCACACCTGGCCCTGAGCACTGCCGGCCTGCGTGCTCCAAGTCGGCGTGGACACTCGGTGGCTCCTGCCCCAACTGAGGGACGTCTGAGACCAGGATCCCACAAGGGGACCCACGAATGTGGACCCCTCACAGGGCTGCCCACAGACTCCAGCTGGCGCACCGCGGACAAGCCCCCGGCCTCTCTGCCCTCCTTTCTGCCTGGCCACCTTGGAACCCTTTCTCTCTCTCTTCTCTCCTTCCTTCCTTTTCTCCTTTTTTCTTTTTCTCTTTATCATTTTCTCTCTCCCTCCATCCAACCCTCCCTTCCTCTCTTCCTTCCTTCTCTTCCTCCCTCCCCAGACAGGGTCTGGCTTTATAGTTCAGCCTGGCCCTGAACTCACTGTGTAGCCCAGACTGGTCTTGAACTCACAGCGATCCTCCTGCCTCAGCCTCCTGAGTCCCAGGATGACAGGCGTGTGCTACCGTGCCTGACTCTTTTTCAGGCTTTGATCTACACAAAACCACCTGGCCGGGGCCCAGAGCTCAGGTCTGGGACAGACCACGGGACCAGATGGCCACTTCCTTGTCCTCCGAGCCTGTTTCTCAGCTGGCAGTGGACACAGTGGCTCCTGTGCCTGCCTAGGAGTTTCCTGCAGGTTGTGCTCCCTTGGGTGCTGCCGGATCATCACTTCCACTGCAGACAGGCCCGGCCCCTCCCCTTCAGGGTCCTCGCCACTCACCCGCACACACACACGTGTGCACAGAGCTCATGCACACCCACGCGCGCGCACACACACGTTCACCCCCACGCCCACCCCAGGGCACCCGGGTGCCCCGGCTCTCAGCAGCCCGGGCAGCTCCGGCCCCATCCCGGTCCCCCCTCACCTGTAGGGCGACGCCGCCGGCCAGGACAGGTAGTCGGGGCCCAGCGCGGTAGGCCGGGGCGCCACGGGCTGCTCCACCGCGGCCTCCTGGCTGTAGGACTTGAGCAGCGAGGCCGAGCGCGTGGCCAACAGGGCCCGCTCGTTGCGACGGAACTTGGCGCGGCGATTCTGGAACCAGACCTGTGGGGAGGCCCGGGCCTGAGTCCCGGACCTGGTGTCCCCACGCCCGGCCTGTCGCTGACCTCGGTGTCCCCTGCGCGTGACGGGGACAGGAAGTGGCGCCCGCTCCGCGGAAGTAGGCGCAGGAGGACGCAGGAGCCGTGCGGGAGAACACAGCTCCGAGCGGACGCTTAAGTTTGAAACTTTCCAACCTCTTTAACTGATCAAACCCTTCGCGCCAGGCACTATTCTAAGCACGCCAGAAAAATCTCAACTTCCGGGACTGAAACAGACCCCACGCCCCCGGGGCTCACTGCGGAGGGCAGTCTGAGCACAGGGTTAAGATCACAGCAGGTTGGGGCGCGTGGCCTGGGTGTGAACTTAGTTCAGCCCTCCTGGTTCCAGGTGCTCTTGGCTTTTGGAGACAGGACCTCACAATATAGTCCAGGCTGGTGTCCAACTCCGGCGACCCTCCTGCCTCGGCCTCCCGGGTGATGGGATACAGGCGTGGGCCCCACGCCCCGCCAGACGTTCTGTTGCCGAGCACACCCCCACCGCCCCCCACGGCCCCGCCTCACCTGCACGCGCGCCTCGCTGAGGTTCACGCGCCGCGCCAGCTCCTCACGCACGAAGGCGTCGGGGTAGTGCGTGCGCTCGAACACTCGCTCCAGCGCCTGCAGCTGGCTGCTGTTGAACGTGGTGCGGTTCCGCCGCTGCTTCTTCTTCCTCTTGGCGCCACCTCGGCCAGGGCTGGGACACTCACCTGCGGGGACCCGGGGTCAGCGGTGCGGCGCTAGTCACAGGGCCCGGCAGCCCCAGGCCCCAGGGCCGTCGCCGGGGTGCGATCCCGCCGCGGCTCAGCACTGGCTCCGCGCTTTCTTGGCTCTCTGCAGATGGAGCATCTGGGCCAGGCCGGCGGCCCTTTCCACTGCGGGGCTTCTCAGGCCTCCTTGGATCCAGCCCCCCACCCACTCACCCTTCCACAGGCGGGGATACAGTGGACCACAGCAGCCAGGCCACAGCAGCCCCCCAAACGGGAGTGGCTCCACCAGGCACTAGAGACTTGGTCAGGAAGGGCACAGGAGACACCAAAGCGTTCCTGTCACCTGGGCCGCGCGGACCGCGACTGTGTAACTATCTCAACGCACCACAGTGGAAGACAGTGCCATTGCCCACAAGATACACCCCTTCCGCTCACACACACGCCTCCCAACGTCCTGCAGCAGCTCTGGAGTCCTCTTTCCTGAGCGCCTGTACAAGGTGTGATCGAAAATACAGCGAATGCTGCTGCCGAGCACGCCTCAACGGAAAGGCAGCTCGTAAAATCATGACACCATGTCCTCATCCACCTTATTCACCAGATCCAGCACCATGCAACTCCTGGCTCTTCCCAAAGTCAAAATTCCCATGAATGGGAAATGTTTTGAGTCCACTCAGGACATGGAGGAAGCCAGGACAGTGCAACTAAAGACCCTCATGAAAGAGGACTCCAGAGCTGCTGCAGAAAGCGGCAGTTGGTGGGAGCAGTGTGCTGGAAGACAGGGCTGCACTGGGTGCTGGGGAGACCAGTGGGAGGGGGACCCCGAATCTGCATTGCTGTGCCATGGGGTAAGGGCTGGGCCAGCGTGGGCACCAGGGGATGCTCAGCCCCAGGGGGCAGCAAGGAGCTGATTCAGGAGGTCCGGGATGTAGCCATGGGTTCAATTCCCAGCACGCCCCAAGAATGTGTATTTTAATTACAAAGTAGTATCGCTGCTTGTCTTGATAACAGATTCAACCAACAAAGAAAGGAAAATGGTTGAGCAAGGGGCACCCCTTCTCTAACCCTACACCCCACAGTTTATAAGATTATAAATAGAAATTTTAAAAATTGAGTAGGGGGTTCAGCTCAGTGATAAAACATTTATCTAGCAAGCATGAAACCCTGGCTTCAGTCCCAAGCACTACAATGAAATTAAATAAAATTCAACTTGCCTTTTATTTGAGGGTGGGATTGAGATAAGGTCTCACTATGCAATCCAGATTGGCTTTGAACTGGTGATCCTCCTGCCTCAGCCTCATAGGTGTTAAGACACAAGTGTGCACCACTGTACCCAGCCTTGCCTTTTGGGGGGACAGTACTGAGGACTGAACCCAGAGCCTTCACACCAAGCTACATCCTCAGCCTTCCCACTTTTTATTTTTATTTTTTTGGTACTAGGAATTGAACTCAGAACCTTGAACTTGCCAGGCAGGCATGGTGGCACTGAGCTAAATGCCCAGTCCTTATTTTTTTACTTTCAAGACAGGGTCCCAATATGTTGCCCAGGCTGGGATTTACAGAATATGCCATCCTCCTGCTTCAACCTCCCTGAGTGCTGGGATTACAGGGATATGCAAACATGCCTATTTTCTTTCTTTGTTGTTGTTGTTTTGAGACAGGGTCTCCCTATGTGTCGGGAGCCATTCTACATAATTTTGAGGTAAACAATCATTTCACAGTTAAATTATGATTAGGGCTGTCTAAGGCCTCAGTGGTCCCATGATTCTGTGACTCTCAAGGGCAAGATTACATCAGCTGAAGGCATCTTGGGTCTTTGGGAACTGAGTAGTAATACAGAAAGAAAAAGGGTTCACCTGGGGAGGGACAAATTCCTTATCAGCTTAACCATTGCAAGAACATTTTTGTTCATCTCACCATCCTAATCAACATAAAATCCTCTTCAGCCTAAGATCTTCATCACTGTAAGATCCTCATGGTCATCAGATTACCACCACCCTCCAAGACATCTGATACTTCCTCCAATTATAAGATCCTTGTCAATTTAGGATTATCACAGCTCTCTGAGTCATCTGTTACTCCCTATGAACCCAATAAATAGTGGCAAGCTCGGGGTGCTTTTGTCTTTGCTGCCCAGAGCAGCACTGATCAGGCCCAGAACCCAGCTTCCTCTCTAAGTCTCGTTTCCTGTCTTTAGTCTTTCATTTGCCTTGTGTTGTAGTGGCTCACAGGAGACCAGGAGCCAGTGCAGGCGTTCTGGTAACGTCCCCTTTCCCATTCTCTATACCTATGTAGTTCAGGCTTTCCTTGAACTCACTCTGTAGTCCAGGCTGGCCTCAAACTTGAGGCAATTCTCTTGTCTCAGCATCCCAAGTGCTGGGATTACAGATGTGCACCACCACATCTGGTGTGTTTTTATTTAACAATATTCTGAGTACTTTTGCCCCTCAGTCCCACAGACCTAACTCTCTTTATTAGGATTGTTTTCTCAAAAAACATTTTCCCTCCTGCTCCCTCCCACCACCTGTAGGAACCATTTCTTAGTTTTTGTTTCTCCTTCTGGTATTGCCTTTTGCTAGTCAAATAAAATATGTGTAATATTTTCTCCACCAAAAGAAAGTCTCACATGCACTATTCGTCCCCCTACCCCACAAGCTATCCTGGTTTCCTTCCTACAGGGCACAAAAACTCCTTGTGTCCCTTTCATGGCTGCATAGCCCTCCATTGTGCCTGTGCTGTGGTTTATTGACCCCGAGCCCTGTTGGTGGGTACTTCACACCTCTCCAATCTTTTAAAACTAAAGAATGCCACGATAATCCACCCTTGCAATCAGGATCTTCTATTTTTGGCAATGCAAATTTGGGACAGATTCCTGGAAGTGGAATTTCTGGGCCAATGAGTTAATGCTAACGTGGAGTAAACAGCGAACAGGGCCAGAAGCCCCAGAAAGCCTGTCTTACTCAGTTCCCACCAGGGGTGTCAGGGGCCTATTTCACCCACAGCTGAGCCAACAAGAGTGTACCGCTGATCTTTTGGGTTTAGTCCCTACCTGGTATTTTTGTTCTCTTTCCTCTCCTGTCCTGCCAATCAAAAAACTTCCTATGTTTTGATCCAATGCTGAGTTTTCATCCCCTTAACTGGACGGGGCAGGCCCAGAAGTGGAGACTGCCCTGTCCCTGCTTTTTAGGGTTTGTTTGTCTATTGTGGTGCTAAGTTGACCAGGTGGGACTCAAACTTGTGACCCTCCTGCCTCAGCCTCCCTGGGCGCTGGGATTCGAGGTGTGTGCCTGAGTACCCAGCAGATCTGGAATGATATATCCAGCCTGTCACTGTTTCCATGTTTTCCTCTCATCTCTGTTTGTATCCATTCATTTCTTCTGCTGTCTTATTTCACCCAGCTTGGGCTGGGGATTTAGCTCAGTGCTTCCGCCACCTGCCTTGCAAGCACAAGGACCTGAGTTCGATCCCCAGTACCAAAAAAAAAAAGTTCAAGTTTTTTTTTTATTTTACCCTGGCTTCTTGAATTGCACAGTGAATTCAATTGTTGTCTTTCTAGGAGGATCACCAAGGGTTGGAGGGCAGCCTGGGCTCCACGAGTTGAGTTCAAGGCCAGCCTGAACCGCATAGGACGTGGGTGCCTGTGAAAGCCTCTCCATCCAAGCCTGCCATCGGGAAGAACCCTGAACCCTAAACCAGAACGAAGTGCTGGAAACCAGGGTGTAGAGAGACAAGAGCCAGAAGGCAGCCTCGAAGCTTCTGGAAGGCGGCCACCATCCCAGAGCCGATTTTCGCCCCCTCAGGCCACGCCAGGCCCACACCCCATGCAGCAGAGCCCCAGCCAAGAAAGGAGACATTTTCGGGACGTATCTGAGCACCCAAAACTGGGGGTGTTTAAATGAAACCATTCTGCAGCCTTCACCAGGGCAATGTGGGGCCAGAGCCTCTCTTAACTGCAGCTGAGTCCCTGCCCCACTTCACACTGGGGAGACGGGCACTGAGCCCGGAACGCTGCGAGCCGTCTCCTGGGTCCCCTCTTGGCCGCAGTGACACGGTCCGTCAGCTCTCGGGAAGGGCCAAGGGGGCCTCAGTCTCTGTCATCTCATCAGTGTGGAAATGCCAGAGCCTCTGTCACACCCGCCAGAGGTGCAGCCCTTCAGCCAGGCGCTGGTGCCTCACACTGTCATCCCAGCACTCTGGGAGGCTGAGACAGGAGGATTGCAAGTTTGAGCTCAGCCTGGACAATTTAGCGAGACCTTATCTCAAAATTAAAAATAAAAAGGGCTGGGGATGTAGCTCAGTGGGCAGACCCTGGGTTCCACCCCCAGAACATCCAAAAGGGAGAATGAGCAGGAAGAAGAGGAGAGAGAACAGCCTTTTGTCCTTCAGGATATCCAGCCCTGGGCTCGTCTGGGGTCTCCACGTTGCTGTGAGGTGCTGAGCTGACCTCAGTACCCGCCTTGGCTGACTGCTCTGTGCCACAGCTAAAGACTAGAACCTTTTTCCCTCCCCCTCAGTCCCCTGGGCCTCAGCTGCAATGGCAGGCTGGGGGGCAGCCCCTGTGAGGCACTGAGGCTCAGGCAGCTTCTCTTAGGGGCCCAGACTGGAATCCACAGTCTTGGCCCCCACCCAGGTCTCCAAGCAGAGGCCTCTGCCTCCAAGAAGAGAGACACTTGGGCTACTGGACATTGTCTGTTCCTGACCAGCCCCTGAGACGGGCTGTGGTGGGCATGCTTTGCCCCCTGAGTCCTCCCAGCCGGGAGTATTGAGAAAATAAACCAACCCTCGGGGGGCCTCAGGCCACTGGCATTCTGCCCCTGTTCCCTTGCAGCAACCTTTCCTGAGGGACAGCTGGGGCCACTCTGTCCAAGAAGGGCTGGACCAGTTTCCTTTCTTTTTTTGGTACCGGGGATCGAACTCAGGTCCTTGCGCTTGTGCAGCAGGCAGCAAAACCACTGAGCTAAATCCCCGGCCCCCAATTTCCTTTTGTTCAGTCAACCTTCTGC